CCTGGAACTCACTGTGTAGACCAGGCTGGCCTTGAACTCACAGAGATCCAGAGATCCACCTGCCCACGCCCGGCACAGCCCATTTTTAAAATTATTATTCTTTATTAGTCTTGGGGGCAGAATCCTGTCATCCTAGGGTGATTTTACACTTGACCCTTGGGCCTTGGGGTTGTGGAGCCAGTTTGGGCATGGGGACTGTTTCTGATTCCAGGCTGCCTTCTCTCATCCCAGCAGGCCTCTGGTGCTGGTCATCACAGTGGTTATGAGGAAGGTTGGATCGTGTGTCTCATCTTTTCCTTGTTGGCCTTCTTTCTCTCAGTTCTTCCAAAAGGTATGTCCAGGCCATCCCTCATCACGTTCACTCCAGCCATGGACTCCAGTGACCTCTGGAAGGATGGGCAGCAGCAGTCCAAGCCTGAGCAGCCAGAGCCCATTCTGGATGGGGCTGCAGCCCGGGCTTTCTACGAGGCTCTGATTGCAGGTGACAGTAGTGTCCCTAGGCCTCAGAGATCTGAGCCCACCAGGCAAAGAAAGATGAAAAAGAGAAGGGAGGCTGCGGCAGAAGCTGGGGCCACGAGCACATCAGGACCCCGAAGATCCTTGGAAGACGACAAGACAACCCAGCGGATCCTGAAGGCAGCCCAGAACGGGGACGTGGCAGAACTTAGAAGATTGCTGGAGCCTCAGGAAGCAGGAGGGGCTGGAGGGAACATCAATGCTCACGACGCCTTCTGGTGGACTCCCCTGATGTGTGCTGCCCGAGCAGGCCAGGGGGCTGCTGTGCACTATCTCCTGAGCCGGGGAGCTGCCTGGGTGGGAGTCTGTGAACTGGGCGGCAGGGATGCTGCACAGCTTGCTGAAGAAGCGGGATTCCCTGAGGTAGCCCGCATGGTCAGAGAGAGCCATGGAGAGACGAGAAGCCCAGAGAACCGGTGAGGGGGAGACTCAGCTCCTATCACTTTCTTTTTTCTTTTCAAGTTTTGTGTGAGTGTTTTGCATGTGTTTATGTGCACCATGTGCGTGCTGGGAACCACACTCAGGTCTTCCACAGTAGCAACAAGTGTTCTCAAGTGCTGCGCCAT